TGGTAAAAACTAATTAAAACTGATATAAAATTGAAAATCTGAAGTCAAAACTAAATAAAAATAAAAACTAATAAAAATTGCAAAACTATTAAAACCCTGGTCTGGAGGCAAATATCCCTCAGGGTGAAATGGGTTGGTAATATTTGAGGAGAACAGGACGGTTAACAACACGTGCAACTCTGCAGCCGTTCATGTCGTTACATTCAAACTCTGTAAGTCAGCTGTGGTTTGTGGTTCCTCTTTGGATCCACAATCAGGACACATAGAGCTGAGCTAGTTTTTATAGAGCACAAAACCAACGTCTGAGTGAAAACACTCCATCTCACTATAGAAGCACTCTAGAATAAGATCAACCACACGCTGCAGGAACTCAAACCACTCCTACCTTCCCCTATTTTTACAGAAGAGCCACCTTGATTGGACAACACTCAGTTGTAAAGCTGCATCTAAAGCAGGGGTGTCCAACTCCAGGCCGGTGTCCTGCAGGTTTTAGATCTCACCCTGGGTCAACACACCTGAATCACATGATTAGTTCATTACCAGGCCTCTGGAGAACTTCAAGACATGTTGAGGAGGTCATTTAGCCATTTAGATCAGCTGTGCTGGATCAAGGACACATCTAAAACCTGCAGGACACCGGCCCTCGAGGCCTGGAGTTGGACACTAAAGAGTCACTCTTAAAATGTCCACATTTTAAACAGAGAAGACGGATAGTTTGAAAGAGGAGTGAAAAAGGTCATCGATGTCACTCAACACCAATATTCATTCACAACGACAATAAAAACAATAAAAAGAGTTACTGGACAGGTGGGCATCACAGACATGCATGTTTATAAGAACACAGGAACTGCCTCAGCTGTCCAAACTGAGTATGACAGTGAGGAAACAGTCTACTTTAGTTTCTACTTGAATTTTGCATAATTTCTATGTAAATATTTTAAATCATATGTATGTATGTAAAAGTCATTATATAGTCATTATCTACATGGAGTTTACCTGCTGTAAGAAGACTACACTTCAAAAAACATCATTCAAAAACAGTGGGATTTATGTGAATTATTATAACATTCTTTCCGGCACTCAGGGGACGGTAGCAAGGATAGCGAGTCTTTACTCCAAAAAGTCCAGTACAGTGTGACTATGCAGCAAAAGCCAATTAGTTATAGTGAGGTAACTTTACCAAACATTAAATGATGCTGCGGCTTATCACGCATTTAAAACTTTCCTTTTTGTCCTTCAGGAGGGAAAATGGTGACAGTGCAATCGCTGTAATGCTCTGTATCCTACACAGACCATCACCAGTCTGAGAACTGGGAACTCTAAAGTGGACATGAAACACTACACTGTGGAGCCCGACTCTTAAAAACTGACATTGACTTGTGAAGGTGGGATTAAGAAATAAGTCCTTAAAGTTATCAGAGCGTGTTTAGTGCCAGCACACAACATCACGTCATTGGTTAGCTGGTTGCGGCTAACTGACTCACATTAGTTTAAGTTCGGTAGCTGGTGATAACTCAGATGAAAATAATGAGAACAAAACTAAAAGTCAGTCTGTGTGTGTGTGTGTGTGTGTGTGTGGGGGGGGGGGTCACATTTGTAGCACCTCTGGCTGCAACATTGAGTTTTATGTTAACAAACCAAGGACGTGCTATCCAGCTTCACTCTCTATCTCTCGAGCCATAAGTGGTTTGTCACTGTTTGGCCAGCTGCCCTGAAACAGGTAGATCCACCTGTAAGCTGTAATGTGTTTGTAAATGAGGACGATGTGCAGGAGATCCTATTTGAATCACCACACTGACAATCTGGAGTCCGACACTCTGATTTTCCCTCGACCGCCCGGGTGTGATGAACACGAACCAGATGTGATCAGCAGTAAAACAGTCTCATTTGCCAAGAACACAAACAGTTTATAACATAGTAACATAGTGTGTGTGTGTGTGTGTGTGTGTGTGTTTGTGTATGTGTGTGTGTGTGTGTTTTCCATGGAAGTGCTTAATAGTCCTTAATAATTTGAGATTAGCTCCCAACTGTGCACCAAAGTAGGATTGTGAGATTATCCCTCTCTTCAGCACTTTTTAATCTACAGCGTACTCAAGGGCTCAGACTAAATTTAGCGTGGAACTGTCAAAGATATGAGCCAGACACACAACTTGATGTGTTTCACTGTCCTTTCAGAGTCTACAACAGCTCTACAACCCCTGATCTTCAGTGACTCCCAGTCACACACTGTGCTTTCAGAATCCCGTCCACAGACGATGCTGCAGAGCCTGAATTGTTGAAGTGCTCGGCTGGTACCATTAGCACACCTACTCCAAATCACAAGTACTCCTTCAAACAAGAGAGTGTGGAAAATCAGCTAATATAGAAGTCTTCCACTCAAACCTCATGCTTTTTAAAAAATATTTAATCACACAGTGCTCTTGGTTAACAAAGCAACAGGGACTCTAAGCCGTTTGACAAGAATTTCTGCATTTCCTCTTTCTTTGGAAAAGAAAAAAGAAAGAAGAAAGAAAACGTGTGGTTATTTCAACCACTGTGTGCTGACTGTCAGGAGACCTCACTGGCTGAGCCCTCGAAATCAAATTTGCCAAAGAAATCAAGTAAGTAATAAATCAATAGGTAAAAGGTAATCGGCAATTAGAATCTGGAAAAGAAAATCAGGCAACCTGACCAGGACCTCCCCAGGCTCGCACTCTTGCACCTGCAGTGCATCCTCTCATTATGACGGTGCATTCATGAATCCACCGTGGTGCTAATTTGGCTCACTCATTAGTGCTTATTGCTGAGTTATTTGTCCCATAACCTTGTGCTTCTGTTTTTTCTCCCAGTTCCCCATCAGCAGCTCGATTCCTGTTCCAGTAAGGAGTCACCTGAACGTCACACAGTAAATGACTCTCTGTGGATTTATGGATAAATTCAGTATTTTAATGCTCTGTAATACTGAACAGGATGTATTTATTTATCAGCACATCTTTTCTTGAAATGAAATATGAACATATGAAACTGGGTTAGACAAAAAAAGATCAATAAATGGATTCGATGGTTAAAGATCAGTGTTATTAGCTAAAATTAACAGGTAGCAACTTTTTATTTCCCAGTTCATTAAATCATGTCAAAATAACCATTGTGCTACTCGCTCTGCTTTAAAGAGGTTTTAAAATGTGCTTTTATTAGCAACTGCAGAATTATAATTCCTGTATATACCATGTTTTTGTTATATCAGCACAAAAAACAATTAAATGTTTTGCAGATGTAGTTAACTAGAAAATCACAATTGTGATTCTTTTTTAAAATATTGTTATGTAAATTATTGAACATTATTACCCGGTGGATTCATGGAGCTTTGAAGGAAATGTGGCGCTTTAACAATCTATATTTGAAAAGTTGGGTCACTGCCCCAGCGCAGCACCTGTAGTTGATGCAGACCTGTCTACATCTAATCCAAGCTCATGTCTTCTATTAGTGGATGAATAATTCACTTAGTAAATGTCTTTCAGGGAACGGTGAAAGCAGTCTGTCAATGAAAGAGCTGTGCTTTAGTCGTAACACAATACAAAACTGCAGAATCATTACAAAATGGAAGTGGCAGATTGATGTGAGGCTGAGCAGGTGTTGGGAGATGAATGTAAGTCTGCCAGAGGAATAAAGTGAAATATAAGCTGCAAAAGCACAGACACATGACAGCGAGCAGAAAAACGGGGTTTTCCTACCGTCCTCTGTGGGGACGTAGATGTTCAGATAAAGGCAGTCCTCGCTCTGCTCCTGCACGTAGGTAACCACTGTATCCAAGTTAGCCGTGAACCACACGGGGAGCATATCATTGAGTAAAAAGCGGTCCTCTAAGAACTGAGGACAAACTGAAGGAAACTGAGTCGCATTCCTGATACCGGGCCACGACATGGGGGGCTCTGGTGGTTGGAACCTCCGCTCCCCCGTTGGGGCCATTGCATATGGAATCCCCAAATACTGCTCCACTGGTCCCAGTATCTCATTGGGCAATGTAAGTTTCACTCCCCGCAACTTCCCATAATTGGTGGTGACTACGGGGTGCTGCTGGGCTTGAACAATAGCTGACGAGATCAACACCAGCCCCATCCATAGAACGCTGACCTTAGCCATGCAGTAACACACCCATGAAAGGCCTCCAGATGCTGTCATGCTCCTGTTGTGCTGAGCCCGAGCCTGGCAGGTTGTGGTTTTGGTCCACGCTTGGGTCCTTGGCACCCCACCAAGAAGCTGCCTGCTTCTCCTCAGGATGCAAGTTGAGCACATGAGCCCCGGCCAGTCAAAGCAGCTTTCTCAGAGCTCCCCATCCCAAGACTCTGTGGAGGTTGATGGCTGCTGGGTACCTCCCAGAAGAAAGCACTCTGAAGAACACTTTGGTTATCTCAAGTCCAGCTCGAGGAGATAGATGGTCCTAAAAGAACAACAGAAAGAATGTTGAGTGTTTCCACTGTGACATATTTACAGTGTTATTCCAGTTTACCAGATGAGTCTGAGCAGATTAATCATCTTTAATTCAGCAAATTACTAGAGAAAAGATTACTTGGATATATAATATATGCACATGTATGTTCTTGAGAGGGTGATCTTAACCTTGGTTGTCTCCTAAATGTTTTTGTTGGTTAGGACGAAGGACAAAGTTTTGACTTTAATTTAAAAAGTGTTCAAACTTTTATTTGAAATGATTTTCTGTGCTCTCATAATATATTAATATATTTCTTTAAACTTACCTTGACCTCACCCCCAACTGTGATGTTTCTATGTGTCGTTTTGCATCATAAATTGAAACATTAATGGTTTCAAAATGTTACTTTTTAACAAGCAAAACCAAGATTCTTGTCTTATATTAAACAACCAGTTCGGGTGCATGTACCTAACCACATTGTGAGTGAAAGTAGCAGCAAATAGTGTAAATAAATATACTATAAAGTGAATACGAGTCTAAACAATTCATTCCTGGCCACCAACACAAAACAGGATGTAGGATGGAAAACAGGAAGAAGTCAAAGTTTGATCTGACCTCTGCGACACTCGTAACTCTCTGCTGATTGTGTTAACATTAATTTGAATAAAACACGTGTTAACTATACTTTATTATTATTGTTATCATCATCATCATCACATTGGTTTTTGTTTTGTTAAAGTGACTGAAGTAGGGATGCAACGATACCAATTTTTACAAACCGATACGATACCGATACTTGGATCTGAGTACTTGCCGATACAGAGTACAAAAA